AGAGAGACAGAGAACAAGGGTAAGGGAGAATCTTCTATCTGCTGATTCACTCTCCAAATATTTGCCATTGCCAGGGGGCTAGGCCATGCTGAAACCTAAAGCCAAGAACTCCACCCAGGTGTCCCATTTGGGTGGCAGGGACTCAAACTTAAGGCATCATCTGCTTTTTCCCAGTCACGTAAATCAGAAGCTGAACTGGAAACAGGGTAGCGAGCACTGGAAGCTACACTCTCACACAGGATCTGCTGCCTTCCCGGATACATATGAGCAGGAAGCTGTGTTACAAACAAAGGCAGAACTCCAAACCCAGACACTTGGCTATGGGCCACAGGCATGCCAAGTAACACCTGAATCCATCATGCCACAATGCTCACACCTGGACATTCTATCTTTATTTATATTTACTTTAATATTTTTTCATTAATAGAAGATGATGGGTCTTCAAAAATGCATATAATGAGAAACTTGAATATGGAGTTCAAAGAATTTCTGTACCAGATAAAACGCATGTTTAATTCCATTTTCCACAGTTTTCTGAAGTCCCTTTGTACCAATTGACATAGGCCTAATGCTATTAAGAAGGCAGAAAAGTTTCTAATCTCCCAAGAGATAGAGTAAAATAATGGAATTATATCTAGAACAGTGCACTATTATTGTTATTATTACTTACAATTTGGAGTTGATAAACTTTCACTATTCGTGGTTTAATTTTATCACCACTGCCATCTTGTGAAGAACAGGTATTACTAATGATTTTGCAAAAGAGATGAACAAAATAACCATTTTTTTTACGAGTAATTTTTTAACCAGTAAATCCTGAAGTGCCAATATTGTAACTCACATTGGGGAACCACAGGAAATCGTAATTGTTTTTCCAGTATCATTTTACTATTTTTTTTTTTTTAGCTTTCTAATGGAATAGAAATTCTGTCTCCTGATAAGTTTTTATTAATTTTAAGCAAGTGCATAGAACATGCTTGAAAAGAACGTTTAAGTCTCCTGTTCCAAGGCTGAAAACTTGTTTCTGATACACATGGAATTGATTACCAGTGTTTTGCTGTGGAGGAGTTATCCTTCCAATCGCATCCCATATCTGTAGAGTCCACGTGACTTCACAAAACCTGAGCTGGTGCTTTAAAACCTGTTCTACTCACTTCAGCACTACTGAACACCACATCGCTGATCAAGATTGACGAGACCTAACAATGTATGATTATAAGCCCATCTTTAGGGGAAAGTTGCACGATAGAATATCTCCAACTTCTCTAATTACATGAGAAAATTTGGCAAGAGTTCATCCATGAAAATGCAGAGGAATTTTGACTGGTTGATTTTAATCAGTTTTTGAGATAGGTTCGGCAACCTTTCGAATATGCCCTTTGGACCTAAATACTTTCTACTATAAACATTATATTGATTTGGCTCTTTTATAAATCAAATCTCTTTTAGCTGTTTTCCTAAACTCTCAAATCAGCCTTTAAAATCTGGAGGTGTCCCAAGCAGGCCTAATATTTCATGGAGTGTTTCAACTGTGGAGCAGTTTACATCTGTTATATTATCTCATGCTTGTGAGACCTCCACGGAGTAGGTATCATCCTCTCCCTTTTGTAGGCAAGAAAACTGAGCCTCAGCAATATGAAGTAATTTGTCCAACATCACTGAGACAAAACAAGCATTTTTTTCTATATCAGTTAAACAGTTTCTACTAAATGAGAAAACAACATTTAAAATATGCTTTAAAAAAATAAAACTAGGGGGAAAAAGAAGACCTATGCAGTTTAAGGAACCTTTGTACTGTGCTGAAAATCAAATATTTCTTGCAGTAATAAAATGCTATATAATACACTGACTCACAAACTGTGAATTAACCAAATTCCCAATTTAACATATTTAAACACATAGGAAGCTCAAGGATTTCACATGTATGGCAACACATAAAGAAGGGTATTACAAGTGCGATGTCATCTCTAGGAAGCTGACAAATCTAACACTCAAACTTTGAGACTCACATGTAATAGTGTCGCACCCAACAACCACAAACGTGTGTTCTAAGCAAGCATTTTAACCACGATTTGACCCCAAATCCATGATATACATGCTCTTATCGAGGACACTGTCAGAAATTAATGTCATCTTGTTTTGAGATCACTAAATTTGGGGACGACATAAGAGAACAGTCTCCAGCATAGCGGCACAGGTACACCCCTTAAAACATAAAAGGTTTAGATCGAAGCTCTCAGCTAGCCAGAGGTGAGAATCTAGGTGTCCAAATCACAAGGAATGCTCTTTCCATCACCTTCTACTTATTCCCACTATTACATGTGTAAAGGAGAGGAAGCTGATGCAAGAAAAACATTTCCTTTGGCCCATTGATGATCATTCTAATTAAAAGATTTGACCAGAAAGGAGGCAGACGTTAAAAGGTCTGAACCACAACTGTCTCAATGTCATGGTTCTCCCACAGACCCTAGAAAGGTAAGTTGGTTACGATGGAAACGTGAAAAAGGTCATCAGAGACATCAGACTCTCCTTGTTTCTACCTAAATCAGATTCACTATGAAGACGCAGCCTTATTCTACACTAATGAGCCCATACAGCCACAGTGCAAGTGGCATCCCACAGCTGGAAAGCAGGCTCAGTTCAGAAGTTCTCCAAGATAAGTGTCAGTAGGCTGGGGTTTGCGGAAAGATGTGGTTTTGTCTGCTATGAGAAGCGTGTAGCTGCATCCACTGTTCCAAGTCCTAACTCTCCTTGCGGCTTTACAGACCTGTGTTTAAATTTCATATTGTAAGGACAACAAATGTATTATTCTAAGTGGCCTGACTCCAGGGGAATATCAACTACTTCACAGGTAGAATACAAATATCATTCTCACTTGAAATCTGAGTAAATAGTCTTAAACACTTTCTAAATCCTATTATATGTACAAACTTTGCATGTAAAGGTTGAGCCTAGTTGGCAGAGGAGTAAAAGTAAACACATCTTTCTCCCTTAAGTACACAGTATTGAATGGAGGAGAAAAGGGCTTTGTACTCTATTCCCTCAATCCTTCAATCAAAGACCTTTTAAAAGAAAAGGCAGACTTAAAATAATAAGCCTAGTCCTATGATAAGGAACTTCTGTATTTGAATTTCATTGAATTATAGAGTTGGAAAGGGCCTCCGGGGATCCACCCAGCCCCAGCTCCTGCCTCAGCCCACCTTCTAACCCACAAGCTTTTGTAGGGATTCAAAGTCTGTTCAGCATCAAAACAGAGGAAACTCCGGGTGCCATGGTTGTTCTTTCCTGTGGTGCATCTGAATTCTGATGATAACCTCTTTTGCTCCCCATTTTAAACAGTCCATTTAAAATCTCCACAAATCACCAGTGACCTTTGAGAGGGAGGCAGCAAGGCAGCGATAACAAGAGCAGACTCGGGAGTCTGACTCCTTGATTCTATTTTCCTCATCTACAAAATGGGAGTGAGGACAGGGTTTCTGTGAGAAATGGAAATGACTAAAGTCTTGGCACAGTTCCTTCGTCATGGCTGCACTTAGTAGTGGTACTTACTGTGCTTATTACACTCATTCTGTGAGCAAACAATGCTCACCAAGCCTTCCCCTAAAACAGCCCACTAAGGATTACTGATGCACAGTTTCTTGTCTCTCATCAATCCCAAACCATTTAAGAACAGTGCTTTGGCACTGGGATAAGTCCATGTATTTGGTATAAGATGAAAAGCTTTAGTCCATTTTTAATCTAAACACTGACCCACTGCAATTTAGTACCAGATAACTGTGGCCACCCCCATCCAAGATACATGGCACATCTGGGCTTGGAGTCCAGAGGCAGCGAGCAGTGTCACTCAGGATGAGAACTAATGGCTGCACAGAGTGAGAGGTAGCAAAGATGTCTGAATTTTTCTTAAAAAAAAAATGGGAGTTGAGTTTTTTAACTCCACGAGGCTAGAACTTTTAATTTGAGCTCAGTCAGAAGTAGATTACTTGCTGAGAACACAAAATCTTCCCATATAGGGTCAGGATGGGAAGGTTCTTCTGGTCCACTAAGGTAGTGGTGATAACTGAGCAAAGGCATAAAAATCTCCATGAATTTGGAAACATACAACCTAAGAAGAAACTCATATTCTCAAGGCTAACTTCCCTCTCTTAGCTCATGCTAAGCCAGCCAGTAGGCATTTCCTGATTTTATCCTCCCCACAGGGGCTTATGTATGACAATTTGCTTCCCACAAATGCTTTAAAAGCGCAGAAGTGGAATATAATCTGCCTCGTGTTTCTGAAAGACTCTTCCATAGATGACCAATTTCTAAATGCTGTTTCTTCCAAGGCATTTTTCGAATCTAGTGTGTAAATCAGCTTCCATATAAAATTAAGAAAGCTCTGAAAATGCTACTAATTAAATAGATCCAAAGAATCCACCCTTGTCTTCTATAAAACAAAATGTCCCATGTCTTGGGGAAGATGCTGTGGCTCAGCATATTAAGCCACAACTTGCAACACTAGCATCCTAAAATGGAGTTCAGGTTCCAGCCTGGCTGCTTCACTTTCCATCCAGCTCCCTGCTAACACACTTTGAAAAGCAGCAGAACATGGTCCAATTACTTGGGCTGCTGCCATTCATGTGGAAGTCCAGGATGCTCCTGGCATCAGCCTGGCACAGCCCTGGGTCATTGTAGCCACTTGGAGGGTAGCCCAGTGGATGGGAGATCTCTCTTCTTTCCTCTTCTCTCTTCTTTTCCTCTCTTCTCCCCCAACTTTTCTATCCGTGCCTCTAATTCATCTCTCTGTTACTCTACCTTTCAAAAATTAATTTTTTTCTTGTTTCCTAAAATGCATGCCAATTTGAAGGGAACAAACAATTCAGATGTACCTCTGGCAAGAAATGTCATGGTCCTCTCTGATTACAAATGTCATCATAATTAAATTTCAACACAGCAACCACATGCCCTGATGTGAGTTAACTACAGTTTCCGAGAAGATCATCAGAATTGGGATTCCTTACATTACTCTGGCGCTTGTTGACCTCCATGGCATGTCTGATCTCAGGTGGCTCCTTCATGTGGGCATAATCTGAAATTCCCTTGGTAGCATCATGTTTCTGCTTGTAGGCAACCTTCAACAATAAAAAGAATGGTTGATTCTTTCAGAGGTGTTTTAAATTCTTATCCATTAAATTGCAGTGGTTAAACCGAAGAAAGAATTTTTTATCAGCATGACCTCTTTGAGGGCCATGTCAGTATCTAATATGTGTGTTTGTTCTTCAAATATCCTCTGCCTATTGCTGTGAATTGCACATAGAAATACAACAACCGTTCACTGACTGGACCAATAAGTGAGTTTATGAAACATTTTCATGGAGTTAAACTCCTTCTAGGTTTTCATAAACAGAATTGGGTTTAACTTAAATAATACATTCCATTAAAGTGATAACTATAGTTTTCAACCATAAAAAGCATTAAATGCTATTGTCCAAGTAAAGTTATCCAGCGCAACTATCAATGCTTAAATTCCCTCACACTCCCCAGCCAGTTTTGCACACGACTCTGTATTTTGAAAGCTCTTTGGCCACCTCACAGCTGCACCTGTACGGCCATATGGAAACAGCCCTGAGGTCACAACACAGAGGTTAGAATCAGGGAGGCAGCTCACGGGGTCTGTCCCTCCACAGGGACCTATTCAGACTGAGGTGGTGAATCCTGAACAGTGAAGATTCTCTCTTCAACCCAAATCTATCTTACCATCCAGTCCTTCCTTCAGGCGCCCACAATAGCCTACTCAATCCTGACTAGAACTGTTTGAGTCTATTCAGGCTCTCAGCTCCCACATGCCACATGCTACAATGCATGCAATGGTCATACACTGTGAGAACACAATCTTGCTTCTTGGTTGATTACCCATCCTCAGCTACATCACTTCACCTTATTCATTGTATAATTCATCTTGTTACAATCTGCCCAACAGTATACTCCATCAGCATATCAAATTCTGATGAACATATCTTTGTACTTTCAGTAAGTATTTGTGTTAAACAGGAACATCTTTAAGGACTGCCATTCAAGTTGGGAAAGTTCATCCTCATTTTTATCACATTTTTAACATAGTTTTGAGGAAATAAAAGAGGAATGTAGTAGATGACAAGTGTTTAATGCCACAGGAAAGATTCCATGAGACAACAACCAGCACAGGCCTATCTCATTTTTGATGGACATCTGATTTATTAATGTTTTAAAGCAACCATCTCACCTGTGAGTTTATAAAAATAATCAATGCAGCAGATCCTTTTATAGGTTATCATAGAGCTAGCAAGTCATCAAATGCAATTTTTCAAAGCACTCTTTCTTTAAAAGGCTATGTAATTTTCAACTTACAGCATTAAAATAGTCATTTCATTTATAGCTTCTACTAAGCACCACTTTAGAATTAAGATTACATCAAATTGGAGGCAGCTGAACTTTAATTTATCATATTAATTTTCTACCTTAAAATAGCTAATGGAAAATTATGTCAAGTTAATAAATTTTCTGATAAATTTGATTTCTTAAAATCTGCCTTATTGTGAAGCATTTCCCTAGGTGAATACTGGTACAGAACTAAGACTGCAGTGGTACCAGACACCTGAAATTGGAGGGCATTTAGAATATATATTCATATATAAAGATGCTTACAAAAGCAATATATCATTGCCTTACATGTTAGATCTTGGATCACTTTTATATCTCATATCAGCATATATGAGAGTATTTCCAAGAGTCTGTGGAAAATAGAATCAAAAGGTAATTTAATTTTGGTTTAAGAAGGCTTTGAATTCCGTGTGTAGTTTATCACGTTTCACATGAACTTTTTGCAGACTTCTCATACATATTGATGTGAAAAATCTTCACCTTAAAATAAACATATTTTTCAATTCTACCTTCATGAACTTTTTGAAGTGCCCTGGTATAAGGTGTGCACATATGATTAACTTGCAGTATATCTCCTACATACTCTGCAGGTAAATGCGCTTTAGTAGGCTTTGATCAGCACCACTGAATCTGTGAATCCACAAACCAAAATGAAGATTCTCACAGAGCTTGTCCTTGCAATGCCTGAGCACCCAGTGTTCAAAAGTCTCAGCAAACCTTGGCCTGAGGCAGCCCGGACAAGGACTCCCAACATCACTGTACAATCATCCGCAAACCAGTTTCAAAGCTGTCTTTGAGTTCCAGTAACTCAGTTTCCAGTAAGAAAAAGCCTTCTCAAGTGCAAAATGATAAAACCCAATGCACAGCAACGGAGACCATATAACACCTGTCTAACAGCTCGAAGGAGCACAGGCCTGTGGAAACACGACTCATTAGCATCTGCTTATGTGACTTGCTGCAAGCTATTGAAGTGTCCTCTGCTCGGGAGTTTAGTATTTGCTATGAGCATTTCATCTATGCTCCCTGTCCACACACAATGAAAATACACCCCCATAAATAAATAGCCATAAATGGGACTCAGAAAACAGCTGCCTTTGCCGATCAGAAATGTGCACATGCTCTTCATTTGCTGCGATTTCACTAGCAACTTTGAACAGCACGTGAGCCAGCTGCTGCCAATTCTCAGCCAGTAGTTAATGTCCAAGATAAACAACTTTGGGTAAAATGCTAAAGACCTTAGATGAGGTGACACATTTGACCTATATAATTACCTAGTGACCAAGGACAGCGCACCTACCTCACTCTGCAGCTGTGTGACTTCTCTCGCAAAGACGCTGTCGATTGTGGCTGGCATCTGTTTATAAAGAGAGTTTGAAAGGTCCGCCTTAGTGGTGCCTTTATATTTTGCCTAGAGGAAGAAAGAAGTGGAGGGAGAAATAAACATTGCTTCTTTTAAAAGAGGTGAATATGAAACGAACAAGAACTTTCTTCAGAAAGAGAATAGGTTTACAAATCTGCAGGCCGTTTTAATTTTGCATACTCGACCTGCTAAACATACAGAAGTAGGCCCTGTCTGTCACAGAAGAAACTTGAAATGAGACTCTCAATACCACAATGATCAATCAATTGTGAGTGTATTGGCAGCTTCATTTATTTTTATATATAAGCAGTCTGACAATGAACTATTTACATAATTCTCGAAAACAACAAATCATGAAAATTCAGTGTCCAGAACCTCAACACAAAGGGCAAGTCTTCTTATTCAGGTCCTCTCAATGTCTTGCTGCCCCCACGGGCAGAAGGGTACACCTTCCCACCCCGCCCCGCCCCCCATCTGCACCATCTCAAACCCAGCACCAGCACGATCATTATCGGAAAGCAAACACTCCCTCACCATTTCCTCCTGGGAAAGTTAGGGTCAGGGAAACACAGCAGATTGCCCACTTCTAGTTTTTTTCTCCTTTGCAGTCCTCCAGGGAAAGCAATCAATCAACAAGAACGGCAAGAATTCCCACGCAAAAAAAGAGCCGACTAACCTAGAGTTGAGTTCTTCCACACCATATAAATGGGTCTACAACATCCATCTCAAAGACCGATTGGTTTACTTTGGCACTTAATAATAGAAAATGCACTAACTTCCCTTAAGTTCCCCTCACCCCCAACTTAGCAGAAATAACAGGGAAAAACATTACATTGACTTTCCTCCAATACAGCACGAGGAACACTAGAGGTCACTCATTTAAACACTATTTTACTCATTCAACTTTATTCTGTATGATCCATTCACAGATAACAATGGTGTCTCTACTCAGAAATCACTGCTAACATTGTGCTGTGTAACACAACGCAAACCGCAACCCCGACTGCCCTCTAAGAAAATCCATCTGACTTGAGCTGCAAGATGAATCAGGGTATTCCTCACACTGTGGTTTCATCACAGGGGTCCGCCTCCATCAGACTCAATTTTATTCCACTCAAAAAGAATTAATGTTGTTAAAGATATAACACCTTAGGGAATCAGCTAGTAAGTTTTACTTTCATATTTAATTCTTTATCTCTAGTACACCAATTAGGAAATAAAATAATGGAACTTCAAAAGTGAAAAATTTCCGCAGTATTTTCTGTTTATTGATTTTAAAATATCCCTTTTTAAGAGCAATTCTATAAAAAGTCTATAAGATATACCTACTTAAGAGCAATTCTATAAAAAATGATACAGGCTGGGAGTCAAAATACAGACATACAGTACAAAACAAAATACACCATTTGGGCCCATGTTATGACACAGCACACTAAACTGAAACTTGGGGACACGCTATCCCATATCAGAGAGCTTGGTTAGAGTCTCAGTTATTCTGAAATTCCAATCTAGCTTCCTGATAATGTGTCTGGGAGGTAGCAGACCATGGCCCATTTACTTGGTTCTGGCCACCCATATAGCAGTCTTGGATGGAGTTCCTGGCCCCTGGCTGGGGTGGGCTCAGCTCTGGCTATTGTGGACATCTGGGGAATGAACCAGTGGACAGAAGATTCTGTGTGTGTGTGTGTGTGTGTGTGTGTGTGTGTGTGTGTGTGTGTATGTAGTGTCACCTGCTTAACAATCTGCCTTTCAAATAAACAAATCCTTTATATACAATCTTATGTTATCAGAATTAGATACTAATGTAATGCACAGACTTTCCTCAATAAATAGAAAAAAAAAACCTGCAAGCCACTTGGCAGGTTTGGGGAAGCTTACCTCAGAAATAAAAGCACTGATTTGTTTTACATGATTTAGCAAAGGTGTGTCAGGCACAAATGTACACTTGTCCTTTGACTTCTTATGCTCTTCTTTATAATGGATCTGGAAAGGAGAAGCATGTAACATTAGAAAATTATAGTTATAATGGATCTTTTTGAATAGAACAAGCTACTTGATAAAGCTCATTTTCTGCAATGAACACTTACATGTGGAACGCTCCTCCAGTCCCATACAGAGATTCCCTGCCCAGACTTCTCAATGAAAGAGCCTTAGTGATGAAGACTTCCCTACAGATGAGCAAGGGTATTGAAGTGGTGAAGGATCAACTTCCAGGATGCTGGGCTGCAGACAATGGGCCTTGCTGCCCAGCCTGCCCGTGATTTTCTAACATGCATCACCTCACTCCTACAGTGCCTTAACTTATTGCTACATGTAAGCTCTTGGCCATAACAGTTATGCTTATGCCAAGTGGAAGCATAGCTGCCTACCTTGAGGTAGAAAACAAAGTCATCAGGACAGATGTAACCAATTAAGTAGAGGTAGAAATTAAATGAAGATTACTACCAATGTTGTTACCTATGTATGCTAGATTAGAGGAATGGGCTTCAATTGGCCATAATAGGGCTTCTGTCATTAATTAAATCCCAAGTCAAACCTGCCCAATTTATGAGCATCCACAGTCCTCTCCAGCATCCCTTATCCCCCTGCTAGTGAGACAAACCTGCCCTGAAAGCTGATGCTACACGTTGGAAACCACTCTACAATTCCCCCATGCTGTGGGTAGGCAGATGAGCCAGAAGAAACCCAGAGACGTTTTGCTGAGCCCATTTCTTCTCCCAGACTCACAAATAAAAGGACTCACACCCTCCTTCTTGGGGAGAACTTGGAGTTATTGCTCTGCAGGAAGATGCTAAAAAGGCAAGTGGGCTTCAGAGAAATCTGGATTCATAGAAGGAACAGATCTGCAATCCTACTATCTCACTAAAGGCTGCAGGAGTTCAAAACTGGGGAGACCAACCCAGGACCCTTTAAGAGGAAGCAAGCAGTTTGCTAAATTTAAAGCCATGTTTATCTGCCCAAGACTGTAAACACTCGGCTGGAAAGAGTGTCCCAACTCATATGATAAATTATATGGTCTTCCTAATTAGAACCCAAAAGCAAGTTGTATGTAGCCCCTGGTTCTTAAAGGACGAGATTAATACTGGTGTTACACACTAATGTTACAAGGACATTTTGCCATATGCAAAACTGACTTTAGGGGCATTATTTGACCTGCAGTACAAGCAGACACAAACATGTTAAGTAAAGTTCTTTCCAAATACCATATTTCACTGCTGTGACTCCTAGATATTAGATGCCTACCACATTAAACATTGCTTTATTCATGAAATCAACATGAGAACATATTTATCTTATCTGAGCACTAAATTACTTTTTTTCTTCTCAGAGATTAGCCATAATTTTAGGTTCCCGCAAATCACCGTCCTCAGCCACTAGTAATTAAACCGTTAATGGCAGTATGATAAATAGTAGGCTATTTTGATCATAAGGAGGGGGAAAAAAGTCTGTTATATAATTAAGTGTGAGAGAAAATAACCTATCATTAGGCTTAAGTTTGACTCATTATTTTTATCGCTTGCCACCATCTTTTCCCCATCACATTCACATCCCTCACCACAATGGAATGCAGTGGTGTGTGCTGACGGCCACAGGGCTGATAAAGTGGAATGTTTCAGACAGGAGTGTTGGATAAGGGGAAATGCTCACTTCCTTTGCTATGCAGGCAAACACTGTCGTCTTGGGGACTCCACTTCTCTCTTCGATCTTTATTTAAAAGATATGTCAAACAGTATCTTAGGGGTAGACACAGAAATAGACAACCATTCCTGTTGCAAAGTTTGTCAGAAATTATACATTCTTGTTTTATAATATAAATGACTATAGGCAAATGATCTTAAGTTTTCAAGTAAGAAATGTTACCGATGAGTTTTCCTGTGCTGGAATAAGAAGTAATGCATCAAAGTGAATTCTACTCACCAAGAAAATGAATTAAAGAAGATAAAATGAATGGATAGCTATTTCCTGTCACAACCATGTCAATGACTTACACTCTTAGTTGACCTCATATATGAGAAAGTTTGTCTGGCCATTTCCCTTCTCACCTACTAATAGATCCTCAAAGCACCCACACAAATAGCCAGACCTCTGCCCCAGCCCTTGGAGGCAAATTGTTCTAAACCAGTCGTAGCCATGTTAGTCTTCAGGAACTGATAAGCCTGCGATGCCCAGGTGCCTACCTCCAACCAGGAGACAATGGTGAATCTTTTCCAGTTTGTACCAAGTCTGGATCACCTACCTCCACGCTGTGTGTGTGTGTGTGTGTGTGTGTGTGTGTGTGTGTGTGTGTGAAAGAGAGAGAGAGAGAGAGAGAGAGAGAGAGAGAAAGAGAAAGAGAAAGAGACAGGAACATCCAAACACCTACTGATAAGCCACAGTCTTAGGGTTTTCTATTACTTTCATTTATCTGCAATCATAAACAACAGACATTCCAGCACATTCTCAAAATGATTAAAAAAAAGTTGATGACTTTCTGATAATCAGATACCCCTTCCCAAACTTTCATTTTTCTCCTCTGACCTTACCCACTAATCCTACAACATCTCTGCTAATGCCAGAGTTAAATGAATTCAATGTTCTTTCCTCTTCCTGATCAAGCTTTCTTTGATGAGCTTGAAATTAGCGACAGAAACCTCTGAGGATATTTGAGGAAGAATTGGAAAGTATCAAGCATCCTTAATTGAAACTGTCCCCAAAGTTTTCACAAATGAAACATAAAATCCAAGAAACCCTGATGGAAAGAACTGGGACTCCCTTACTCTTTCTTAGCTCAGCAGATCACGGCTGAGGTCTCCCTGCCAGGTTTCCTAACACAGTTTGAGCTTTCTCTAGAGGTATCCACAGAATGTGATATTTTTAGCATTGGAAAGATTTGTCCACAGCAACCAATGTTCATTTGCCTGGAAAGCATCATTCCTGCTGCCATACAACCCGACACCCTTAAAGCCCATGAACCCAAAACACTGCACGCAGATGTAGCCACACTTCCTCTAAAGAAGGCTCTAAAGTACTAGCTTACAAGAAACCTGCTAACACCCATTGTGCCCAGTATTTTTAGTTACTTGTAAGGAAGATAGTAGGTCCCTGACTCTGGATTCCTCTTGGAATAGAAAGGTTTAATTTACTTGAGAAATTGCCCAGCTTTTTGGCAAACAGAACTGACCGACAGAGAGAGTATATCTGGGGAGTTGCCAGGAAAACAAAAGAGACTGCTTCAGAGGCCCGGGTCTTTCAAAATTGGAAAGGGGCTGCACAGAGGGAAACACCATACTGTGAACAGAGCGAACGCAAAGTAGAAACTGGGCAGGGCCAAAACTTAACTGAATAAAAAAGAAGAAAGGAAGGGAGGTAGAGAGGGCAGGAGGAAGAAGCTTTGTATTGATCCCTAAGGCGAAGCCACTTGACCTGGACAAATCAATAACCCTCTCTACTGAGAATTCTGAACAGTGCAGGCCGCTGGGGCTCATCTCCAACCCATCTCCGTTCACATCCTAGAAAGGGGAGGGCACAGCCAAGTCCACTGATCTGCTGATGACCCTAGGCTCCCTGCGAGACTGAAATCATAAATGGCAAAAGAAAAATCTCAGAAACTCTCTAAAGGGCCAGGCAAGAGGGAGAAGACTACAGATTGGATCCACCACTTGTGAGGTGAAAACACTTCAAACTTACTAGTACAAGAAGAGGCCAAATATAAGAGTTATGGGAGTCCCAGAAGGTGCGGAAAGAGAAACTGGTTTTACAAATATATTTAATGAAATAATAAAAGAAAACTTCCCTAATGTAGAGAAAGAATTGGGAAACAACATCCAGGAGGGGCACAGAACTCCCAACAGGCTTGATCAAAAGCCAAAAGCGATCTTCACCAAGACACATGATCATCAAGCTCTCTTCAACTGAACACAAGGAAAAGATCCTGAAATGTGCACGTGAAAAAATCAATTGACATATACAGGAATGCCAATTAAAATCACAGGAGATCTCTCACAGGAAACTCTCCAGGCAAGAAGAGAATGGAGTAACACATTCCAGATCCTAAAAGAAAAAAAATTGTTAGCCTAGGATAACATATCCAGCAAAGCTTTCTTTTGTCTTTGAAAATGAAATAAAATTCTTCCACAGTAAAGAAAAGTTAAAAGAGTTTGCCTCTTCCAAAACTGCCCTACAAATGATACTTCAAGATGTTCTCTTCTCAGAGAAGAGGAATATCACCAAACAAAACCAAACTATCAGCTACAAGTGAGAAATGAAGGCTAAAGATGGCTCTGCTATACAACAGGAACTGAGCATGGCTTCCTGCAGCACTCAAGTCTGAGAAACGACCCCAAAGGGTGTTGCATGCATGAGGCCTGTGTTGAACCTAGTGATTAAGATGCCCGCAGCCCACATCAATGCCTGAGTTTGAGTCCCAGCTCCAGCTTCCTGCTAATGCAGAGTCTAGGAGACAGCAGTGACGACCCAAGTAATTAGGTCCCTGCCACCCCTTGGGATACCTGGATTGAGTTTCCAGCTGCTGGCATCAATCTTGGTCTAGTCCCACACAATGGGAATGTTTGAGGAGTGAACCAGAGGATGGGAGATCCTGGTCTTTTCCTGTCTATCACATTGCTTTTCAGAGAAAATCCTAAAAATACTTTAAAGGAGGTATTAAATGTTAAACTATTGTGCTGTTCTCCTCCTAATCATGGGCCATCCACATGGGACTGCTGGGCACAGCCCTGGATAGTACAACCTCATAAAGACACAGGAAGGCTGGACTCAGCTTTAAGAGGATAATTACAATGAGGAAGGACATGAGGATGATAAAGGCTACTCTGTGAAGAGAAACCCGTAAAAGCCTCCCCCCTCATCTGAATAATGAGATAGAGCAGGACTGACTACAGACCCAACTCCGGGCTTAGCAGACCAAAGCTCGGACAACATTTCCTCTCGTAACTAGCCTGGCAGCATCGGACAAGCTCTTCCTCTGGACCACAGACTCTACAGTGCAGGCTGGTGTGACACAGAATAGGGCACAAAGTGGGACACAGAAAGGAAGTTAGAGCAGCCAAGCCTTGGCTGTGTGGCTTCATCCTCAGCATGTATAGCTGGCTGTTTTTTTTTTTTAGCAATATGATTTATTTTTTGCTTGGGAGAGTTGATAAACAGATCTCTGACAGACACAGAGAGATCTCCCATCCCTGGTTCATTCCCCACAACTGCCTGGAACAACGAGGGTTGGGCCAGAATGAAACCAGGAATTCAGTGCTGGTCTCCCATGTGGGTGATGAGGACCCGACAGCTTGAGCCTTTCCCTGCTACTTTCCACAGTGTGTAGGAACAAGAAGCTGCTCTGGGAAGCAGAGCTGGAATTCCAGCATTGGCACATTGACACGGGATGTGGGTGTCCTGAGCAGCACCTTTACAGGACTTCTGTTTTTACCAAGTGAGTAAGTCCATCAAGCCTTGTCACAGGTCAAGTTTTAAAATCACTGACAATCTTTTCCAAAACAACTCAAACAAAATCACCTTCTACGTTGAGTTTCCACTAGTCCTAATTTTATGGAACACAATTTAGTTCAGTTATAATTACACCTGAATAAAAACATAGCAAAGGCAGAAAAGATATGACATCTGAAGGTGGAGCAGCAAGACTGAAAGACCAATGTGAGTACAAGAATAATAATGCTAATAAGGCTAAGTTAAACTTTCCATGGAAAACTACGGTGAGAGCTCCTGCACCAGTGCAAGAGAGGGCTTTCTGTCCCACTCCCTCCTCCAACGTATAACCGCGCCCCACAAGTTATCCAACCTCTCTGTTCCTCCAATTCATCACCTCTGAAATGGGAAGACTGATAGAAGCTCCCTGATAAGCTGTTGTGCATGGCACATAACACTCAACTAATCTTAGTTGTTGCTGATACTGTTGTTACTGTTGCTGCTGCCATTTTGCCATCATCTTCGTAGTGTAAGAAGCATGCGTACAGTACTGTATGACTATCATTAACAGCTTTAAGATATTACTTTGTAGAGACACTCAATGCAAATGTTGATTACAGCATATGTCAGACATGGGGGAGGAGTATAATTCCCACCACCATTCGTAGGCTCTCTCTCACAAACCAGAAGGCAGTACAGAGTTTGACACACAACAGTGATTGAATAGATGCAGACACTGCAGATGAAGTACATGAGAGCAGCTAACATTTGGTAAGTACCATGGTGTTCCAAAAATTCACTTTGCATTTTAGTTGTATTACTTACAATTTCCTGTTATTTATTTAATCTTACGACTGGAACACCACACTTGGGGCTCTGAGCCCTACCAGGTTATATAACTTCTCCACATTACTACTGAGTCCACTCAGTCTGACTTCAGAGAAGGCACCAGCATACTACTCCACATCCCCTCATGGCCTTCCTATGGAAATAGGCATCTGTGAAACATTCCAATCACTTTGCTCAATAACGTCAGAAGCAGCCAAGATGTACCCTCCTCCTGAAGGAAGACAGGAAGACACGGGCACACCTTCATGTTCCAGGACACCATCTTCCTTCTGTCCCAGAGGTCCTCCTCCCCAGGGAGATGCACTGTCTCCTCGTACTTCTAGAATTCCAGACTATACATTCAAATCTGTATACAGACAGACATGCCAATAATTCTAAGGTTTCCCTGAAATGGAAACAACCCAAGTTTCAAAAAAAAAGTCCTAAAAATGGGTCCTGATCCAGCAGCATCTAGACCAGGGTTGTTAACATGCAGTTCAGTAATCCATGAACCCTAACTTCTACACAAATGCTATTAAGCATATCGATATACACATTTTTTTTTCATTTGGAAAACAAATGCATTCGTCAGATTCTTCCTTCATACGGCCCCCAAACACAAAAACGATTCATTAAAATACAGTTCCTCTTCAGACAAAAATTCCATTATTATAATAATTTAAAATTCCTTGAGCTTTTCAACAGAATATGTTCCATAATCAGTGCCCTGGGATTTCATGTTAGTGTGTCAGCAAAATTCCTAAGGGACAGAATTCTAGAAGGAAGAAAGAAAAGACCTGCTCCAGGAGAGGTTCTCTGAATAGGTGACCTTGCAGGAAGCTCTCGACAGTTTTGGACTTAGTACAAGGATGTGAAAACAACTGTGTTTTAACGGATGGTTTTTGGGCCATCTCAGCTCAACAAAACATGGTGTATAACAGAGTAGGTAATGTAGCACACACATTATGTCAAACAAGGCAAATCTTGTTGAGACCACTTACATCACTAATTAGTCTGGTGCATTTTCTAGCCAATTTCATGCTCAGGTCTTCAATAACCGGCTGCACGAACACCTGTTGGAAAAAAAAAAAGAGCATTTTTCTCATCACCAACTTCAAGAAGCAACTATCATGCTTAGGGAGCTGCTGCTTTCTCACTCACCTTGTCTTCATTTTCTCCTTCCCCTATTTTTTCCTCTTCAGTTTCATCTTTTACATCCTCCAGTACAGGGACCTTCATTTTTACCCTTCCAAACTGCGTGTTATTTTCAATTACTAGTGTAGGATCTTTTATGCCCCACACTGCCCTGGAGCTCCTGGTGCTTCAGACACTGTAGCAGGAATGACCTTGCCCTGCTCCCCTTCTATTTAGCTCACCCTTCACTCTCCTTATCTCAACAGTGTGTGAGTGAGTGGAACAGGATCCCAGAGGTCTGTCCCGGCTAGCCTCACCAGTGTAAAGAACATGTTCTCGTGCAGAATTCAATTTTATGGACTTTGAAAGTCAACCTTCTTTAAACTGGTTAAGAAATTCAAAAGAGAAAGTGTATTTGTCTGTCATTAACTCAATTCATTCATAAGATAGCTTGAAATGGACTTCAAGATTCCTGGAAAATTACTCAGCTATAACACTTAAGACATCACAGTCAAAAGCCTGTTATCATAGATTCCTTAACTCCACTTAAATAAAGCTGTCACTGGAATGTCAGATATAACTCTGATTGGATACAGTGAATCTGGATCATTCAAACCCATTTCACTAACATAAATTTAAATGTTTTATGAGACATACGCATACTTCTCTCATTGTAAAATCTACTTACTTTATATGAGCTGATTAGAGGCTAGTAATTTACTATGAAAAGCCTTTTGTACCACTTGAAAGAATCTATCCTGAATTAATTATGACTGTTAATCTTAGATCAGTGAGTGTTACACTAATTGTAAACATTATTAAACATGAGAAGCAGTAATTAACATGCTGATATATCGTTTAAGAATCCAAAAACATCTGTATTTCAAAAATGATCAACATCCTCTTTGAATTTTGGTCATTTTGTCAATTATCACAACTTTACTAGTTATTTGTACATTCTTCAATGCATATCACATACTGAGACAACTTTGGAAAAATAATCACTGCACTATATTGTGGTAGGCATCATTACTTGTATCGTTAAAATATACAATTCTCAAAAAAGCTTTTTAATATCAGTTTAGCCAATTTCAAGATTCTATACAATTCAAATTTATCAGTTTGGTTACTAAAGTCCTACAATAAACTGACATCTACAAAGCCACAGCATATCAATGTTGGACATAAAAAAGCACCCGCTAGTGAATAATGAAACTAATTATCTAAAATACAACTTCATTCAAAACAATACATCATCTGAAGAGGTTAATGATAACACTGACTTCTCCTTAGGTAATATTTAATCTTCCATTAATCTTGTAAAAATGTCCTTGGCTTTCCCTTAAGTGAAAATTCTGTCAAGAGAAACAGCCCTCATAGGCACCGGGCACAGTTGATCTCCCAGGCTCAGCTCCACGGAGAAAAGTACCATGCAACAGCTGAGGTGGAGGTGGGAGGGTCAAAACAAACATGTCTGGAAAACTTCAGCTCTAATCTCTATTCCTGCCACTTAGAGAAACACATGGCACACTGACCATGAGAAGCTCCATAAGACCCTCAACTAGAAACCCCAGTGAGGTTTACTTACCCTAGCTTTTCTAAAACATGAATTCCATCCGTTTTGTTACCTCAAACCTAACTTATCTGTCCACCTTTGCTTTTCAGTGCTACCTATTACCACAGAAAACAAACATTCTTCCTCAAAATATTGCTTATTACTTAAGAAATACTTCGTTCTATTCTAGCAAAATACACGTTGTAAAAGGTTGGCAGGTCTTGTCACGAAATTGCTTTTGATACAAACTAAATGAATTGCATCACATATTCGCTTACCAGCAAATGACAAAAAGAAATTGCTCCAAGTATACTGAATTTGGAAACCTTAACTTCAACTTAATAGCTATGCGCATCCACAACAGCAGATGCAACAAGAAATTCTTTGCACATTATATTTATATTATAAAGGGAGAGGTTATGTGAGCCATGATTGTTTCCCTCGAATTCTCTGCCAGAGATAATTCTACTACTTGATGGAAAGCCTATCAAGCTTTGGTAAATAGAAAGCAGCAATTTCTGGAAACTTTTCTTATCAACCTCTCAAAGTGTATGGAAAATCTTGCCAAAACTGTCTAAGACATACCTCTTGGTTGTCTTTGAAGAGACAAGTCTTGTGTTACTCATGGTGACATCTATTCCCCATGGTGAATCACCTTCATCAGGCTTGAAGGGCAGCTATTTTCTCATTTCCCATTATGGAACAAGCATTTATTGACTCTTCTGCACTGCAAGAAAATTACCTGTTTAGATTTAATGCACCAAGCTTCTGAAAGCGAAACCAAACACAATGTACGAAGTGAAGAAAACTTTTCCACTTGAGATTTCAGAATCAGAATTTTAAAGCACAAGGGACATGTAAGAAATCAAGGCACCTGAGTCTCTTCATTTACAGAGGACATAATTAAGGGCAAGAGGCATCAATTCTCCATCTCATTTTCAAAGTTGTTCAAAGGAGTGCTAAGCTCAGAACCTAACTGGAGCACTGTGCTCATTTATTCATTAATTACATGTTGCCTTAGCAGGTGCTTGGTGTTAGAGATATAACAGCGAATAAAACATATTTTGTGCTTCATTAGGTAGGGAATAAAAATGCCATCATCCAAGACTTGTTGGACGAACTCTTTAATGGACTGTTTGGCAAGCTCTGAAACACCATTACTTTTGATGGAATGCATCTTTTTTCCCTTTCACCTATAAGTGTGCTATAAAATTCATGAAAAGTTTTCTCTAAAACATTTTAAGCCCTGTACTTTATCACAGCAAAGCTCTCTTGTCAATAAGTCTAAAACCCGACTTGGGGAATAAGAAGAAAGTGTTCTTCATGGATAGCTATCATGTGTCAGAACTCCCTATCAAATACTTTTAAGAAAAAAAAAAAACAAGTTCAGTGCTGTATTTTAATACATATTTTTACCTTAGGACACCCCCAAAGGGAATATCAGTGTAGTTGCTAATCCCTTTCACTTACTGAGCACTTCATTTGTGTTGTCTACATTTTTACCTTTATACTCTACCCATGCCTTGATACACAATGAGACCGAGCTTGGAGTCACATTACTCATAGCCAAACTACCGAAGTCCAAGCTTAGCTCCATCGCACTCTCTAGAGAATATTAGTGAGACCTCCTTTGCTGCTAATGCTGCAGAGTTAGAAAAGCTTGCATATCATAAGTTAGGGAAAGGAACGAACTTGAAAAACTGTGAAGCCCCATAAGAAATTCTCAACTACCTCACAAAAAGGCACACAGTGAGGAAACTAAAAGCATGACATCTTAAAATATGCTAAATACTAATGTGTCAGAATGGGGCATCTGGTCTGCTTTTTCTACACAGTCACTAAGACCCCTCGGAAGGTACATCCTTTACCTCCTGAGGCTGGAAATTATCCTTAATCACCAGAAAATAACTGGGACCTCAACACACCTGAATAAACTGTGAAGCCACACTCACCCTCCATTAACTTGTCTGTCTCCACCTCAGATGTCTCTAAGCAACGTGGCTAGAATCTGCTTTAGTTCAAACACACAGGTGTACCATCATTCCTCCCTAAATGTGTTGTTCTTTCTCCAAAAAAGTATACAATCATCTTGTTTGGTCACTTCTTTGTACTTCACTCTCTTGTGAAAGATCTTCATGTACATGTAATTCAACTAACATTTTTGTATTTTCCTCTTGTCAATCAGCATTTATACTAATTAGGTTTCTACATCAAACCAAAGCAATAAGTAGAATAGAAAGAGGATCTCTCACTCCCCTACACAAGTACTGGGAACGGAAGGGTCCTTTTGTTGAAAGGCTCCTAAATACCAGCAATCCTTTTAAGATTAAGTTTTAATACATACATAAAAATTACACACATATATATGAAGTATGAGGTTGTGTTTTGATACATGTATGTATCCATCATGTATGTAAGCATTGTGTAATCTCCAATCAGTATTAAATAGGTGAATCTCCTCAAACATTTGCCTTTTTTCTAGTAAAAATGTTCAAAATGCCATCTTCCAATTGTTTTTAACTTTATTACATTGGTATATTATCTATAGTCACCTTGGGTGCAATAAAACCCCAGAATTTGTTGCTCCTAAAATATAAGGTTTCGTCCAACCTCTTCCCTTGGATCTGGTAGCCACAATTACACTTCAAATTTTTTATAAAATTTTCTTTTTTTAATTTTAGTTTTTTATTATTAACATTTTATGATACAGTTCTATAGGCTCTGGAATTTCCCTTATCCCCTCCCCAATTCCCTTACCCCTCTCACTGAGTTCCCCTATATCATTATTATAGTACAGCTCTTTTTACACAGTCATATGTCCATCATTGCAGGCATGGACAATGGCAGAGTCCAGCATCCTATTGTCAAGATACAGTAAGCAGTGTCATTGGGTGTCCATCTTTGTCTGGAAGTAGAGATGCATACTGCATTGTATCCTCATATCTGGATATGATAGTCTCCATTACACAGTTACTATACATCCCCTTAAATGAAAAGCCACAAAATGAAATCATATACTACTTGCTGTATGTGTATGCTTGGCTTATTTCTGTTTGACACAATGACCTCCAGTTTCATTCATGTTGTTGAAATTGGTAAAATTTTAGCCATTCAGGGCTAAGTATTATTGTGTGTATATGTATCACATTTTGTAAACTCACATATTAGTAGATGGATACTTAGGCTGTTTGCACGTCTTACCTATTGCGAACACAGGAGTGTCAATGTCTTCTGAAACCACTGATTTAATATTCTTTGGCTATCTACCCAGGAGTGGGATTGTTGCTGGTTATATCACTTTCAGTTTGTAGAGGAATGTACATGCTATCTTACACAATGGCTAGACTAACATACACTCTTGTCAACAGTGCACAAGCATGTTCTTATAAACATACTTGCCAGCATTTAAATATTTCTCTGATAATAGTCAATCTACCTGGAATGATATGAAATCTAATCACGGTTCCTGATGATATATGTTGTGTGCATTTTAATGTACGTTTCAACCATTTATATGCCTTCCTTTGAGAAATGTCTATTTAGGTTTACTACCCATTATTCTAATTTGACTTTTTTTTTTTTTTTGCTACTGGGTTCTCCACATATCCTGGATATTAAGCCTTGCCAGATATATAAATTGTAAATATTCTGTCCCACTCTGCAGGTTGTCCCTTCACTCCATTATTTCCTTCACTGTGCAAAAACTCTTCATTTCATAAAGTCATGTTTTTCATGCATTGCTCCTGTACTTTGAACTCTATTCCCAAAGAAAATTGTTGTCCACTCTAAAGTTATGAAGAATTTCCTCTACATTTTCTTCTAGTAGTTCCAGAGTTTTAGGTCTGATGTGGAAGTATTCTATCTACTTTGAGCCAATTTCTTTTAATAA